CCCAGAGCTCTGTTTCCCGCCTGAACTCCCTGCCCTGTCTAAGGCGTCTTCATTTGCCTAAGGCGGGAAGAATGGGGCCTAGGTGGACGCCTTGGACGCCCTATGGACTAAAGCGGACGCCTTAGGCATGCACGTAAGGCAAGGCCGACGCCTTGTAACCTGGGGGCGCCCTGACAAGGCGACGCCTTAGGGACGCCTTAAAAACAATGGTATTACATCATATGAGTTTACCAGACCTGAATGTTGAGAAAGAAGAAAGAGTAAGGGGGCTACAAGCATAATTACACTGACTCCTAGTCGTCTATCTGATGCGGCGTGCTGGTGGTGATACGCGGTGACCCACTTGATTTAGTTTTAACCTAAATGTGGAAATTAAGAGAACGATGACTTATTTGACACACTTGAGCAAAGTTTAGTGACCAGCATGTAATTTACTCTAACATAGGAGAATAAATTAGACAGAGAAAGTGGCAAACCAAGGCTTGTGCTGTTCTCGGTTCTGCCTTGTGAACTTGTGGCATCGTCATTAGGAGAGCGTGGTCGCTTCTTTTTCCCACGAGATGATGACGAATGCGATGGCCATGGTTCTGCCATTTCACTTTGCTGATTGTCCAGTCCAATTTAAGTAGATGGCATGAGACAAGTAAGACAAATGTCTGTCCAATCAGGAGTCAGGTCCTCTATTTTGCATCAGCAACCTGGAGCTTCCTTCCACAAGCACCAAAACAGTAAGAATGGCTACTTGTGAGCTGAAAGTTCAAAAACATCCATGGTCAGAGGGATTGCAATAAGTCTTGAAAAATCTGGAACATGGAAATGGTTTAGGAAACTCGGAATACTAAGAAAAAACTGAGACATGGTCACACTCACTCATTTCAACTGAACTAGAATGACTTGAAAGATTACCATAAAACGGAAGCAGAAAAATAAACAACACAAGGGGTGGACAAAGTTCACTGAAATTCCCTAGTATAAGCTTCCTGCAGTCTTAGGGGTATTCGGCAATTCAGGCACCTTGCTGAAGGGGGGAACCATCACTTTGCTAATCCACTGGAATTTTGCAAAACTCGTACGTATATAATAGTATGTACTATTTAATGCAGTTGCTAATCCAGTGGAACTTCACAAGTCCGAGAAATTGTCGGTTCAAAGTAGCCTCTGAACCTGCAAACAGAGCATTCAATCTACTCTAAATGCACTGAAATTTCCCAAGGATTGTCGTCTGCACTAATCCTCCACTGCTGCCCTCCCCACGAAGAAATAGCGATCTCTCCACCAATGCAGCTAGCAATATATCCATATACAAGTAGAGGCAAAGTACAGGAACGACCACAAATTTTGTACTAATACCAGACAGAGAATTTCATCTCCTCCCTGAAGCTATATTAACGAGCGCTAATTGACGGACAGAGATTGGATGGATGCCTAACCTGGTCGCAACCCGCGCCGGCGGCTCCCCGCCGTCCGGGATAATTGCAGACGGCCGGAGTTGCGACGGCGGCCTCCTCTTCGAGACACGCGGCGACCTCCGTATCTCCTCGACCTCCCCCGCCGCGCGTGGCCGTCAGCGTGGCAACAACCTACTCGGCGGCGGCGGCGGCGGCGGCGGCGGCGAGGGCTGGGATCTGTCGCGTGGGGAACAGCACTAGAGGCCAATCGGGATGTTTTTTTCCCCGAGTAATTGGATAGAAAGTTTTTTTCTTCATACCCGTGGGATCTGGGACCACCTGTCAACAATACATGTGCTTTTCTAAAATATACTATAAGTACTATACGAGATTAATGGAGAAATTTATGGCACTACAATTCTGAAAAAGAAACAAGGAGGACCGGTATATTTCTTCATTAACCCATATACACCGTCGTATGAAAACCTTTCAAAAGCGTTTTTTGCGCCGTGACTTTCTGCTCCTCGACGACGGCCAAGGTACGGAAGATCATGACCAGTGAACACGTTGACAATGAAAGCACGGGTGATAATGACAGTGAACAACATGTACAGCTTCAGATTAGGGTGCGAGAGACTCATCGCCGATGGCACGGACATAGGCTCCCGCTGCATAATGTAATTGGCGGGGCAAATGTACCCGTACAACTAAATAGCAAGATGGCAGGAGGGCAGATTACGCGTTAGAAGATATATATGTTTGGGTTCCTCCAATATTTCAGAGACTCAAAGATGGATAGACAGAGGAGCAAATCTAAATTCATAGTACACTCACATTGTCATCAAGAGGATGGAGTATATATAGGGGTTTTATGCATCTCTTGTCTTTGTTTTAGCATCTCTTGTCTTTGAACAAGTCATTCAAGAAACGTTCATTTGATCATTGTGACCGGATTACAAAGTCATGTGATCATCTTGCTTGCATGTTTAGCTTAGTCTCCAACTTCTAGGTGGAATAACTTAGTTTGCATGGTATACCAGTTCTCTCATATGTACCATCACGTCAAATCCAATGCATCATGAAAGACGCGTGACACTATTAGAAAAATGGGCTTTCGTTCGGGCCTGGCCAGCCCATTAGTCCCGGTTCTACCACGAACCGGGACCAATGAATGCATTCGTCCCGGTTTGTGAGCCCAGGTGGCCGGCCGGAGCCTCGTGGGCATTGGTCCCGGTTCGTCTGGGCCCATTTGTCCCGGTTCTTGGCACGAACCAGGACCAATGGGCCTCACTCCTGGCCCACAAACATAGCTCCCGGTTCTTGGCTCGAACCGGGACAGAAGGCTGGGCTTTAGTCCCGGTTCCAGCCACGAACCGGGACAAATGAGTTTCCTATATATATCCCATCGCCGGCGAGCAGAGCACTCCACAGTGCTCTGTTTTTTGCTGGCCGGCGAGGAAGGGCATTTGGGTACTTTAGCCCACCTCTTATGCATGTGAGGTGTTCGATGAAATGCCCGAGCCACACTAGTTAAGCTTTCTCCTCTTGAAGCTCGACCTCCGAGCTCTATTTTTTCCGAGATTTGTCTAGGTTTAGCGGTCCGTCACGCCCCGTCCTCGTCTTCACCGCCGTCGATCGCCCGCGCCGATCTCGTCGCCGGCACCACCGTGGTGAGCCTCTTGTTCTTATATTCTTTCTGAAAGAAAAAATCTTACTTTAGATAGATACTTGTCTAATTTTCTTACTTTTGACACACATAATTATATATAATGCACGCAGATGAACCGGCAATGGATGTACGGTGACAGACACACCTCCGAGTACATTAAGGGCGTGCGTAAATTTCTCGAAGTGGTTGAGGCAAACAAGCAGAATAGTTTTATGTGTTGTCCATGCCCTGATTGTGGGAATACGAGGTCTTACTCTGACAAGAAAATCCTTCACACCCACCTGCTTTATAAGGGTTTCATGCCACACTATAATGTTTGGACGAAGCACGGAGAAATAGGGGTTATGATGGAAAAATGAAAAAGAAGAGGACGATGACAACTATGTGCCCCCTGAATACAGTGATGCTGCAACGGGGGAAGCTGAAGATCAAGAGGAACCAGACGATGTGCCCGGTGATGATCTCTGCGGGTCATTGTTGATGCAAGGGAAAAGTGTGAAAGTGAAAAGGAGAAGCTGAAGTTTGATCGCATGTTAGAGGATCACAAAAAAGGGTTGTACCCCAATTGCGAAGATGGCAACACAAAGCTCGGCACCGTAGTGGAATTGTTGCAGTGGAAGGCAGAGAATGTTGTGCCTGACAAAGGATTTGAGAAGCTACTGAAAATATTGAAGAAGAAGCTTCCAAAGGATAACGAATTGCCCGACAGTACGTACGCAGCAAAGAAGGTCGTATGCCCTCTAGGATTGGAGGTGGAGAAGATACATGCATGCCCTAATGACTGCATCCTCTACCGCGGTGCGTACAAGGATTTGAACGCATGCCCGGTATGCGGTGCATTGCGGTATAAGATCAGACGAGATGACCCTGGTGATGTTGAGGACGAGCCCCGCAGGAAGAGGGTTCCTGCGAAGGTGATGTGGTATGCTCCTATAATACCACAGTTGAAACAACTATTCAGAAACGAAGAGCATGCCAAGTTGATGTGATGGCACAGTGAGGACCGTAAGAAAGACGGGAAGTTGAGAGCACCCGCTGACGGGGCGCAGTGGAGAAAAATCGAGAGAAAGTACTGGGCTCAGTTTGCAGGTGACCCAAGGAACATATGGTTTGGTTTAAGCGCAGATGGCATTAATCCTTTCGGGGAGCAGAGCAGCAATCACAGCACCTAGCCCGTGACTCTATGTATGTACAACCTTCCTCCTTGGATGTGCATGAAGCGGAAGTTCATTATGATGTCAATTCTCATCCAAGGCCCTAAGCAACCCGGCAACGACATTGATGTGTACCTAAGGCCATTAGTTGAAGAACTTTTACAGCTGTGGAATGGAAACGGTGTACGTCTGTGGGATGAGCACAAAAAGGTGGAATTTAACCTGCATGTGTTGTTGTTTGTAACCATCAACGATTGGCCCGCTCTCAGTAACCTTTCAGGACAGACAAACAAGGGATACCACGCATGCATGCACTGTTTAGCTGACACCGAAAGTATATACCTGGACAGATGCAGGAAGAATGTGTACCTGGGCTATCGTTGATTTCTCCCGACCAACCATCAATGTCGAAAGAAAGGCAAGCATTTCAAAGACAAGGCAGATCACCGGAAGAAGCCCGCCATGCGTACCGGTGATCACGTACTTAATATGGTCTCTGATTTACATGTAATATTTGGAAAGGGTCCCGGCGGACTAGATGTTCCGAATGACGCTGAGGGATGTGCACCCATGTGGAAGAAGAAATCTATATTTTGGGACCTACCCTGTGTTGGGGAACGTAGCAGAATTTTAAAATTTTCTACGCATCACCAAGATCAATCTATGGAGTCATCTAGCAACGAGGGAGAGAGGAGTGCATCTACATACCCTTGTAGATCACGAGCGGAAGCGTTCAAGAGAACGGGGTTGATGGAGTCGTACTCGACGTGATTCAAATCACCGATGACCAAGTGCCGAACGGACAGCACCTCCGCGTTCAACACACGTACGGTTGGGAAGACGTCTCCTCCAACTTGATCCAGCAAGGGGGAAGGAGAGGTTGATGAAGATCCAGCAGCACGACGGTGTGGTGGTGGAAGCAACGGTGATCTCGGCAGGGCTTCGCCAAGCGCAAGGAAGATGGAGGAGTGTCACGGGAGGGAGAGGGAGAGGCCAGGGGCTTGGGTGCGCAGCCCTCCCTTCCCCCCACTATATATAGGGTGCCTAGGGGGGCGCCGGCCCTAGGAGATCCAATCTCCTAGGGGGGCGGCGACCAAGGGGGTGCCTTGCCCCCCAAGGCAAGGGTGGCGCCCCCCACCCCTAGGGTTTCTAACCCTAGGCGTAGGGGGAGGCCCATGGGGGGGCGCACCAGCCCACTAGGGGCTGGTTTCTCTCCCACTTCAGCCCATGGGGCCCTCCGGGATAGGTGGCCCCACCCGGTGGACCCCCGGGACCCTTCTGGTGGTCCCGGTACAATACCAGTGACCCCCGAAACCTTCCCGATGGCCGAAACTGGACTTCCTATATATGAATCTTTACCCCCGGACCATTCCGGAACTCCTC